CTTGGTAGGGTAGAGGGACAGCGCAGGAGGGGAAGACCCTCTATGAGGTGGATTGATTCAGGGACTGGGGTAATCGGGATGGGTGTGTCAGACGCAGTGTGATTGGCACATGATAGAGCAGGGTTTAGGGCTGTTGTACATAGGGTCGCTATGAGTTGCAAGCGACTCAATGGCACATAACAACAACAACAACATATCTCATACACAGCTACACTTGTCTATGAAGGCTTGTGCTTAGCTGTGGTACTGGACGGATTTCAGTAGAACTTCTAGACTAAAATAGACTAGGAAGAAAGGCCTGATAATCTCATAAAAATAAATCCATGAAAACTATGGCTTACCAGTTTCTTCCTCGGGGAATCACAAGGATAGTGTAGGAGTGCATATCTTTTCAAACAGACTATGTGTACTAGTAAAACTGTGTGTCAGACTGTGTACTTTCTCCATGCCTATTTAATCAGTATGCAGAGAAGACTATTCCATAAATTGGTTGCTGTGAAGAAGAGTATGGCATCAAGATTGGAGGAAGACTCATCAGTAACCTTTGTAATGCAGATGATAGATAACAACCTTGCTTGCTGAAAGTGAGGAGGACTTGAAGCACTTACTACAGAATATCAAAGACTGCAGCCTTCAATATGGGTTGCATCTCAGTGTTAATAAAAACCCTACTCATTGGACCGATAGACAAGATCACAAAAGATGGAGAAAAGATTAGAACTGTCAACAACTTTATCTTACTTGGATCCACAATCAAACTAGCAGTCAGGATATCAGGAGACATAATGCACTGGGAAAGTCTGTAATCAAGGACCTCTTCAAATTATTGAGGAGAAGTAATGTCAGTTTTAGGACTAAGGTGTATGTGATTCATGCCACAGTATTTTCAGTCACTTACTTTGCACCTAAGAACTAGACAGTGACTAAGGATAGACATTGGAGAATGTGAAGCTAGAGTGCTCCTTGGAGGTGGACATGGTGAAGTTTCATCTCACATACCTTGGGCATGTTGCTGTTGTTGTTATGGGCATGTTGTTAGGAGAGGTTATTCCTTGGAAAGGGCCATCATGCATGAAAGGGGGAAGGAAGGATGACAAAGGAGAGGAAGGCCCTCAATTTTGTGGATTGACACAGTGACTGCAGCAATGTGCCTGAGGGTGTTGAAGATTTGAGGATGACACAGGATAGGACAGGGTTTATATCTGTTATTTATAGGATCTCTATGAGTCTTACTTAACTTGATGCACCTAAAATAAGAATGTGTACTGTACACCCATGAATTATGAACTAACTTGATGATATTTAACAATCAATAGAATTTCAGGTAGTAATTGACTCAGAAGCCAGGTTGTAATTGGGAACTTCCCAGGATCTGGCAAAAGAACAAACACACATGTGTTGGAGAAGGTTCAGTCAGAGTGATCCTTAGACGCAAAGATGATACAGCTTTGTCTCACATACTTGAGGCATGTTGCTAGGAAAGGCAGTTCCTTAGAAAGGGACATCGTGTTTGGAAAGGTGGGGGAGCAGCAAAGGACAGGAAGACCCTTAGCAAAATGGTCCAGTGACTGCTACAATGGCCTTGAGTGTGTCAGAGATTATGAGGATGGCACAGGATCTGACAGCGTTCAGATCTGCTGTTCATAAGGTCACTGAGTTCTACTTGACTCAACACCCAACAACAACAATAATTTTTTAAAAACCAACAATAATTGAGGAGAAGGTGGAGCTGAGTGACAAAGGTGTGAATACAAACAAGTCTTTTAAGATATTTAGCTAGTGGAGAGTAGCTTGAAAGAATTGTATCATTAGAAAACAATATTTTTTTAAAGTAGCAAAAATTAATGCTTTTATGCCTGTGGGAAGGATTCAGATGGGGGGAGAGTATGCAGAAGAAATACCTGAGAAGGTTCCTGAGAATGTAGTGTTGAGGGTCGGGGGAGTCTAAGAGGAGCTGGAGAAGAGAAGCGACACCATCGCTCATCTCTTCTGTTTTCATCCTCATGAAGAACCTTGTTAGTTCTTCTTTCAGTCAGCATGTTCTGACTGAATTATCTTGTAGACTCCATATGCTGCCTCTGTCTACTTGTATCAACAGGTTCCAGTCTTCTTCTTTTAGTTACCAGATACCATCAACATGTTTATCTAGATATCACAAAGGATTAAAAATCAAACTCATTTACTCTTCCCGCGCGTGTTTTACCAATCCAAAGAAGCTCTTGGTATCCTAATGTTACAAAAGGAAGTTCAAATTCTGTGCATTTTCCTTTCACACTATAAATATATGATTATTTCTTGCATATTATCATAATGCACTATATACATTCTTAATTTTATCATTTTTAACTGCTGTCTCAATTGTCTGAAGTGCCTCTTTCCCTCATATACCCATCAAGTTCTTACATTCTTTAAGATTAAACATGCTTGTCACCTTCTCATTGGAATTTCCTCCAGTTCTTTCAAGTGCATGAGAGTTCTCTCAGCATTTTGTCCGTAGTATTATATTATGTAGTTGTTGTGTGCCATCAAGTGGGACCCAACTCATAGCTGAACCTCTGACGGATTATCAGGTGCCACGTGAGAGGACATTGCCTATCTTTCTCCTGGGGAGCAGCTGGTGGGTTCCAGCCACCTGCGTTTGGATTGGCAGTGCAGCTCCTTACCACTAAACCACCAGAGCTCCCCCTATTACGTGTTACTTACTAACTGTTTAACTTATGGGTTTTTTTTATTTATTCACATGCCTTTGCCACAGACAAGATTCTACTAACAGCTAGGACCAAGCTTAGATACTAACCCAATAAAGTTTTATTGAAGAAAACTATGAATGTATGAATGAGCACATATAATAAATAGGTGCAGGTCATTTAGTCTTTCCTCAGTGAAGGCTTGCACACCAACAGAAGAAAAAGACAGGATAGTTTTGGGGTTTTTTTAAAAAAAAATATATACTTAAGATACTTTATTTGAAAGTTTATTTTTAAATGAATGGCATTATGTTAGGAAAGCAGTTAAGAATGCTGATTTATAGTATAACTTTGAGGACAATTATTTTGAACCTTGTCCCATCCTGCATAGGTTATTTGTGAAATAATGAAAATATCTCTTACTAGACAGTTTTATAGACATATATCTCATAGGAAGTTTTATGTCTTTTAATTTTTTTCAAGAAAGAAAAAAGGTATTTCTTTCTCTTGAGCTATAATCTGAATTCTGGACTTATTTCTTTAACTATCAGATTTTTCAAATGAATACTATAAAATATGTATATATACACACAATATATGGACAGATGAATAATACTGCTCAGCTTGTTCAGAGAGAAAAATCTTTTTTTCCTCTACACATTGTATTTTCTCTTTAGTGCAAATATCTTGCTGGATGAAGACTTCAGAGCGAAAATATCTGACTTTGGGCTTGCCCGGGCTTCTGAGAGGTTTTCGCAGACTGTCATGACCAGCAGAATCATGGGAACAACAGCTTATATGGCACCTGAAGCTTTGCGAGGAGAAATCACACCTAAATCTGACATCTACAGCTTTGGTGTGGTAAGTTTCAAGTGGACAACTAATAAAAATGTTAATTCTGGATATAGTTGTAAAATTCAAGTGGAAGCGTCTTAAATATACCAGTATTGCTTAGCTCTCTTACCTAAAAATGATAAGCTGTTCACATTAATTCTGAGTAAGAGCCGAAAGATGTTGTCTTGCAAAAGAGCACTGAACATTCCATGGACAGCCAAAAGAACAAACAAATATATCTTGGAAAGGGTGCAGCTAGAGTGCTCTTTGGAGGCAAAAATGATGAGGCTCATATCACGTACTTCAGCATCTTGCTAGGAAGAGCTATTCTTTGGAGAGGGACATGATACTTGCAAAGGATCCTCAACCAGGTTGATTGACATGACTGCTGCGGTGGGCTTTAGTGTGTCAGGAAGTGTGACTATGGCACAGGATAGGACAAGGTTTAGATCCCTTGTTCTTAGGATCGCAGTGAGTCGTACTTGACTCAGCAGCAGCTAATAAAAAAAGCAGAAAGTGAAGAAAGACTTCTCTCAATATGTAAAATTTATTTCTTTCTCAAACAAGATATGATTGTCTTGCCAGGAATTGAAATGAAATATAAATCATGCCTATGAATGAAGTATGAATATATTTCAGTCTCACATTTTTTAAAATGAATTCTTTTCCTAAGGCAATAAACTCGTGTTTTAGTGATTGCGTCTGTTCCTAGTAAGCTGTATTTCAGGTAGCACTGTGAAGTGAGGGACTGGTATATAACATCCTCTTAGCCTTGTTAGCTTCCTGTGGAGCCTGCCCTGACATGTCAACCTCCATGCACCACAAAATGGAATGCTGCCCAGTCCTGCACCATGCTGATCAGTTCTAATTGGACTCTTGAAATCCATAGAGTTTCCACTGGCTGATTTTGAGTAGGTTGCCAGGTTTTTCTTTGAAGTCCATCTTAATCTGGACGCTCCACTGAAACCTGTTCAGTATGATTTAGAAAATAATATTCTTAAGAAAAAGATTACTGATGTGAAAGAATCTTTCAGACAGACAAAAGAATTCCTGGAATATATCTCAAGTGCAGCCGATTCCTTATTAGGTTTCTACATAAAGAGCTGGTTTATGAGGATGAGTGGCATCCAAGATGCTTGTGAAAAGGGTATGGTGAGTAATGATCACAGCTCATGCTCTTTCTACTTTAATAGCTTAAAGACTATACTTGTTATAGAAACAGTGTGTCAGATTCTGTTACTGGGGTCTCTATTTCTTCTAAGAGAGGAAGACACTCAATAACATGGACTGGCACAGTGACCTTAGCAATGAGCACCTCAGGGCTGTTGAGGATGGCACAGGATGGGGCGAGATTCAAATATGTTATCCATAGCATAGCTCTGAGTCATAGTCAGCTTGATAACTAGCAACAGACAAGGCACACTCCACTTCCTCTCTCTTGTCTTGAGCATAACAGATTTTTTGATTGTTTTATATTCACAGGTTTTACTGGAAATAATAACTGGACTCCCAGCTGTGGATGAGAACCGTGAGCCTCAGTTATTGGTAAGTGACACATTCATTTTTTCAATCTTTCCTCTTTGCATGTATAGGTTAATTTTATATGGGTACATTTGGCAGCTAGAAATGATGTGTTCTTTTGGCGTTCTTTCCACTGGCAATTGCATGATGACATATGGAAAGATTTCATTTCTAATCTCAACTGTGCCATGAAGTACTTTTAAAGCTTGAAAAGTCACTTCTGTGCCCTGCATTTCTTTTAAAAATGAGTTCTTTAAATGAAATTATTTTGTTTCTGAGGTTGTCTCAAATCAAATTTATTTTTAATTTTGCCACTTTCAGGATGGTTATTAACAGTATTTCCAGCTCAGACAGGAAGTCACATGACTTTCATTCAAATTTGTTTTAAGTAGAATTGCTATTGAAAGTTCTGTATCAATTTCTTTTCAGAAACATTTTATTTATAAAGCTACATAAAACTACCTAATTTGTTTGGCCATCTATTTACAGTTATGTTTATAAAATAAAAGTAATTGCTGTCAAATTGATTCCAACTCTTAGCAACACCGTGTATGGCAAAGCAAAACTACTCTGGGCGGTTTTCTACCAATTGCTCAGAGGTAGATTGCCAGATCCTTCTTCCAAAGTGCCTCTGGGTGAACTTGAAATTCCAGTCTTTTGCTTAGATACCAAGTGTATTAACCGTTTAGACTACCCAGGGATTCTGACAGTTTTAAAAAGTTAATCAGCTATGTACTGAAATTGTGCTTCTTTTGCTTTTCTTATAGATGTTAAGCATTTACATGGTATAATGTATTATCTGATACACTGCTAACCAAAAACCCAGCTGTTGAAATCCACTAGCTGCTCCAAAGAAGAAAGGTGGACAGCCTCTTCTTGTTAAGATTACAACCTATTAATACATTAAAACTATTTCTTAAAAAATCATTTTTAATAAATATTTATATGACTTTTATGTCTTCAGTTATTAAGGCTGTAAAGGTAGATAATGTAGACTAAAGAATTTCAGTTTATATTCTAAATTCTTGCCCTTTTATTTGGCACTTTTAAAGTCTTAACAATCCTTTTAAAGCTAGATATCAAAGAAGAAATTGAAGATGAAGAAAAGACCATTGAAGATTATATTGATTCAAAGATGAAGGACGCTGATTCTAGTTCAGTTGAAGCTATGTACTCTGTTGCTAGTCAGTGTCTGCATGAAAAGAAAAATAAAAGACCAGACATTAAAAAGGTATTACATTATTATACTTATTTTAAAAGTGAAGGGCTTGGGATTAGTGAGGATTTTTTTTCCTAACTATGCATTTCAAACAAATTATTTCATGTAGTTCTTTTTTCTTTTCTTTCCCTTGAAGGTTCAACAGCTGCTACAAGAAATGACAACTTCATGATATAAGATTGCTGAAATAGACTCTTGGCTTTTTATATACCGCTGTATAAATAATTTCTTATAAATAAAATATTTTTATTTTAAACATTTTTAGGGATTTTTAGTGATTTTCAGATCAAATATGTAGAAGAGATAAAAGCAGCTACATTTTCAACATTTAGTCCTAGCCCCTTAGTGCCTTCTCCAGTTCCTGCAGTAATTCCTGATGGTTTCATCAGATATAGTATGAAAATGACAAGATTTGTATAAAGAACAATGGCATTTAAAGTCAAAAGACCTTGTCCTGAGGGCAAGTTAAACTACTAATTTGATCTAGATTTTTAGACAAACTTCTCTTCTTTGAGTCTAGACACAGTAGTAAATTATTTTATATAGCAAAGGTGGCAGAATTTTATACATACAGTTAACTTCCCTAATCATCTGACTTTGGCTCATCAAAAGATATTTTTCTTGATGGACTGACCTAGTTAGGTGAGCTCATTCAAAGGCTCAGCAAAATTCTCCTATTGGCCTTGAGAAGGAAACTGCCAAAATGTAGGAAGACAACATGGACTAAGCTCTGAAGACGCTTCTAAAAACGCCAGAGAGTACAGCTGCAAGAAACTGAATCTTGCCAAGACCATGAATAATCTTAGGAGATCTTCAGATGATACCACAGCTCCATCTTGACTTCAGCCTTAAGAGACCTAAATCAGTAAATCTGAGCTGTGCCTAGACTTCGGACAAACAACTGTAAGATAATAAGTGGGTTGTTGTAAGTCAGTAAGATTGCAATAATTTGTTATTGTGCGGTAATAGAATATAAGTATAGATTCCGATGAATACTACTATATTTTTTTAACTTCCCAGTTTCTGTCCATGTTCAAGCGATGAGATTGAGGCATGCCGATTCTCACTAAATTTCTCTTTCCTACTCTTCTGTAGTTTGTTTGTAAAGTCTCTAGTTAGTACTGGTGAATTGACTTTTTAAATTCTTTTTCATTATTCTAAGTTTAAAATTCTCAGTTTAGATATAGTGTTTGAAAATGTATTAAAACTTTAGGTGAAGGGAGAAAGTAATTTATATAAACTTTAAAACTATTTGCTAGAAAAACTAAACGTGTATGCGTTTGTACTAAGTGTCTAGACTTACTAATTCATTCAAATTATCTGTATGTCATTATTTCTTTCAGTAATTCATTCAGAAGAGGAGCAGGTAAAGTGTGTGATAGCCAAAAATTACTATAGTGTAATGTTTCTTCTTGTAGTTGTTGTTGTTGTTATGTGCTGTCGAGTTGCCTATGATTCATAGAGACCCTATGTACAACAGCCCTACACTCTGACCTATCCTGTGCCAATCTCACCATCTCCGACACACCAACCCCCATTACCCCAGTTAACAGCTATTAAATCAGCCCCTGAAAAAGGGCAACCCCGTGTCTAGATCAGACTGTTGTGATCCAAAAGATGTATGTGTGTGTTTATGTGATCAAATAGGATCTGACAGGTACAGGAGGAGATTGTCCCTCCTTCTCCAGCAGAGCATCCGGTGGAGTCAAACCACACACCTCTGAGATGGCAGTGCAGCTTCTTGCCACTAGGCCACCAGCACTCACCAATCCAAAAGATTTTTACTGTCTTAATTTTCAGACTATATCATCAGGTGTTTCTTCCTAATTTATTCTGGAAGCTCTGTTGGAACCTTGCATTCAGCATCATAGCAACACATAAGCCTTCACTGTAGGATGAGAAAATGGCTATACATAAAGTACATTAGCAGAGAATCAAACTTGGGTCTCCCGCATAAGCCAAAACCACACTCCAGTGGCCAGTTCCTGAAGCTAGGGGTTGAGATGATCGAGGACATGGTTAGTGAAGAAAAAGAAGAATGATTCATCTCAACATGACCCCTGTTGATCTCTAAATGTGAACAACCATTTTACTCTTTTGTTAGAAAGAAGCTGTCTATCTTTCTCCATAAGAGCTGCTAATGGCTTAAAACATCCAACATTAAAACATACAAACTTGTGGCTAATGGCCCAACACAGAAAATACTACACCACCAGGCTTCCTTGTACAATGTTTAGAGCTTTTTCAATGTTTTCTTGACTTCAACCTTTAGTATAGATTCCATCTCAACATCAAGGAAAGAAAATCTTCACAACTAAATAAAAAAGTAACATTATGATAAGCAGAAAAAAGATTGAGGTTGTCAAAACTTTAATTTTACTTAGATGAATGATTTGCCTTTTTTTGGTACTTAGGTATGCGATCCTTGCCACAATCCATGGGGGAAAAAAGTCAAGAAATCAAGCAGTATACTGTACTGGGAACATGTGCTGCAAAAGACCTCTGTCAAGTGTTCATTTAGAAAATATCGCAGTGAGGGCTAAGTCATAGTATTTTCAGTTGCTTTGTATGCATATAAAAGTTGGGCAACAAAAAAGAATACCTTCAAATTGTTGTGTTGACTAAAAAGATTGAATATATCATGGACTGCCAAAAGAACATACAAATCAGTCTTGGAAGATATGTAGTCAGAATGTCCCTTAGAAAAGAGGCTAGCAGGACTTTGTCCCAAATACTTTGGATGTTATCAAGAGACCAATCCTTGGAGAAGAACATTGTGCTTGATAAGGAAAGTGGCCGGCACGGTGGACAAAATGGTTACAACACTAGGCATGAGCATGGCAATAACTGAAGGTGATGCTGGGCCAGGCAAAGCTTTGTTCTGTCATACACAGGGTCACGGTGACACATACCAGCAAAAACAAATGCTATTCTAGGAAACAAAAAGAGCATTAAAATTATATACAAATAAGCAGAAATAAAAACTTTCTAGTTGGCAGGAAAATAGGAAAAGTTTACTTAGTAATTTAAAGACTAATTTTAACAAGAGCTTACATAATTCGAGGCACAGTATGACTAGAATACTGGGATCCAAGTCACGTCATTTGCATGAGGTTGGTTTACTAATCTCTACAAGGTCTGTAGCATGTTGTGCAAAGGCTGCGCTTTTCCAGTGATTCCACTACATCTGAACCTCCTCAAGAGAAAGAGGAGCAGTCTTGTATTAAGATTTCAGCCTTAGAAACCTGACAGAGGGTCACTGTGAACTGGAGCCAACTCAACGGCAAAAAGCGCAGCCAGAGTGCCCCTCAGAGGCAAGGATGCAAATCATCTCACATGCTTTTGGCATGCTGATTGTTGTTGTTTGTGTGCCATAGAGTCAGAACCAACTTGTAGTTCACCCTCCAGTAGGTTTTCAGAGGTAGTTAATTGCATGGGAGGAGACTGCCCATTCTTCTTCCATGGAGCAACTGGTGGCTTCAAGTCACAAGCCTCTGGGATTACGTCTCTTGGTCCCAGAGTTCGTTGGCTTGCTGGTAGGAGAGGGCTACTCCTTGGAAAGGGACGTTATGCTTAGAAAGCTGGAGTGTCAGGCAAGGAGAGGAAAACCCTCAAGGAGATGGATTAACACAGTGAGTGCAGCAGTGTGTTCAAATGTGTCAGAGATGACAAGGATAGGACAGGTTTCAGAGCCATTGTTCATGGGATCACTATGAATCTTATTCAGTAGTGCCTAAATAACAATAACAAAGACAGTGAGAGTTTGCGAAGTGCTTTAACAATCGCAGGGCCTAGCACAAGGTTTCAAACCAAGATGTTTACAATTGAGCCAGGAAAAGTTTTCCCTCTTATTTTCAATTTTTTTTTAAATCAGTTTTCATTCAGTCACTCACACATTTCATTGTATGACAATAATTACAATTAAATAACTATTTACATCCTCTCAAAGCCTCTCTGTACTCTCCCGTTCTGTTCACTTTACCTGTTTGTTAACCTCTGCTTCCTCTCCTTCTCTTCCTGTCCCTGCCTGTCAACCTTCTGTAATTGCTTCTATTTGTGAGTAAATCTTTCCTTATAGTCATTCCCTCATGCTTTCCTTCTTCCATTCCTCTCCTTCCATTTGACCAGTTATGCATGTCCTATTCCAGATTATTAATTAAAGTACACATATTCAGTGATGGTCCAGTCATTTCAGGTTTATCTCCTCTCCCTAATCTACTACAGTGTTCATTGTCTATTCATTCTATTCATGCTCTCCCCATCCCTCATACCCATAACCATTCTATTTTTGTAATTGTGGTCTTATGCAATGTTTGTCCTTTTTTGGTAACTGAGTTATTTCACTTAGCATTTTAGCCCCTAGGCTCTTCCGTATTGTATAATGTTTCAGGAGTTCTTCATTGTATTTCAGTACTGCGTAATATTGCATTGCATGAATGTACCTCAGTTTCTCTACCCATTCGTTTATTGGTGGGCACTTGGGCTCCTTTCATCTCCTTCTGTTATGAATAATGCTGCAATAGACATAGTTATGAACATCTGTTCATGTTACAGCTCAGATTTCTTTAGGGTATGTTCCCAATAGTGGAATAGATTGAACCAAATGGTATTGCTATTTTCAACTCAGATTTGTTTGTTCATCCATTCTGCTACTTTTTTTCTCTTAACTGGTGCATTTAAGCCATTCACATTCAGTGTGATTATCAATAGGCAAAGTTTTATTGGTGCCGTTTTATTGGGTTCTGTTTGGTGTTACTGCTGGTCACCTTAGTCTGTCCACTTTTCTATATTGTCTCTGTGTGGACTTCTTTATTTCTTATAAAGTTGGCCTTGTTTTCTGTAATTCCTTTAGTTCCTGCTTTTCTAAGAATATCTTGATATCTCCTTCATATTTCGTGGACAATTTTTCTGGGTACAAGATTCTCTGTTGACGGTTGTTTTCTTTCAGCCTTTTGTTTGTACCATCCATCCCAGTGATTTCTTGTTTTAGGCTGAGAAGTTAAAACTTGATCCTTTTCCGGTTCATAAGCATGATGATTGGGACTTCATACTTCTGTATAATATGTGCCACCTTTTAAACCTTGTTACGACATAGGCAAACTACCTATCTGACGTAAAAAAAAAAAAAAAACCAACCAACCAACCCAGAAACCCAACTTAA